GGGATGTTGAGTACATTGTCCAAGGTCACAGGGCTAACAAGTGTCAGAACCACACCAGGGCAGTCAGACACGGGCCCTCGACTCAAGCCAATCAACAATCTTCCTTGAGCATTTTAAGTGTCAGGAGTGGTGGGGACTGGAAGCTTGGGAGCTGTCAGAAGAGATAGTGCCTCCTTTGAAGGAAGACTTCCTGTCCTACAGACGTAGCTGTTATGAGTGGAGGAGCACCACTGACGAGCACAAGAAGCACCCCAAAACTCTTATTTCAGCTACTTCTAAGGCCCAGCCAGATCCCCACTCTTCCTGTGAGGTGGCCCTATGAACTCTATTATGGCCAAATCACAACAGATTTGCCCTTTATGGTTGAACTCTGTTAATCATCAAATTCTCACTTGTCTAAGATAGTTCAAGTTGGGAGTCATTTGTGAAGAAAAGTGTTGACTAATCCACAGTCCACCAGCTATATTCTATAAACACCGAATTTAGGTCACTCGAGTAGCCATGTGAGTGAGCTGACCTTGAACTCTGTCTCAGAAACCTCTCCATTGCACCCCAAGCAGCAGTGTCTTTGGTAGCAGCTGCTTCCTCTTGTGGAGCTCAAATCTCTCAGGTGCCCACCGGAATCATGCACACTTGGCCTTCATTACCTCCATCCTGTCAGTAAGTATTTCAGCCCTTGCTGAACCCAGGATCGTTGAGGAATCTTCTCATAGACTAGGTTTTGGCTCCACAAATGGCCAAGAACATAGGCAACATGCCTTCTGTGCAGAACCCTCAGCTTTGTTTTGATTTGAATAAAAACCTCTCAGTGTATGAACTCCAGACCACGCACTGTTGTCAAGCCAATCCTGGAGCACTAAGGCTACTGTATACAGCATGGCATCTGCTTACTTTTCAGACAGTAGAATTCGTCCCTTGGTGGCATTTAAGGGTGGTTTCATATTGTCTACTATTGCCCAGCTTTAAACAACAATAAAAATTGCATCAGCCCTAGGTGTTATTGTTTGAACTAAACAGTAAAATGGGCAAGAAATGAGCAAGCCTGGCATGTATATTTAGCAGCTCAAATATGCTCTGAAACTCCCTTATCATCTCTAACTGCCTGAATAAGCACAGGAGCCCAGAAGTACCTATTGCAGGTATTGAAACACTGCACCCACAGCATTAACAAATTCTCCCTCCTGTCAGCAGCATTCCAACCTGGGGTATACTGACCTCTGGTATCGTATATTACCTATTTCCTTACTTCTTTTTTCTCTCCATGGACCTCTCCCCCAGCATACTACCTTCTGACTTGTATTAAAGCATTGCTAGCATCTTACTTTAACCTTTGAAGATCCCCTGTGGCTGCTTATCCTTAGGCCTTACAGATCCTTGCAAGCTGCAATGAATTAAAAGCATGACAAATCTCCTTCACTGGCTCAGCACATGAGCCTGTGCACCAGCAGGTGGCAGCAGAAATAAATAAATAGGTTAAATAATGAATTACAGGATCCACAGAAATGATGCTCTTTCTCTAAATCTTCTTCTAAGTTTCCCAAACTCATATCTTTCTTATTTTATTCCATTCTCCTTGATTTTGTAAATATGGCAGAATAAATTAATGATGCAGCAACATCAGTTTTGACGGCTGCAGAAGAATCAGAGAGGATGAAAATGAAGTTATATATTTATTCTCTGCATTGTTTTCTCCCCCCTGGTGTTTGTCTGCCTCCAGGGAGGTGCTTGGATAAGCCTTCTAGCAGAAGTTGTTTGGGAGTGCTTCACCCTGGCTATCAGAAAGCCTGAACTCATTAAGGAGATTTTGGTGGGTGATGCAGAAAGGGCAAGAGAGAGATGATCACGAGGTGTAGAGAGTTGCATTTCCCCAGGACTCAGGGGGAGGAAGGCTGCAGGTTCTGGGAGCAGTGGGGACCCGAACCTCCCGCCCATGGTGTGCCTGGGTGGAGGCAGAACGCGGGGACCTCGGTGTTGGATAGGTGTCAAGGCAATCAGAGAGGATGGATAACTGGAGGGGCCATTCCCACCAGTTTTGTTCTATGCAAGAGCAAGGGTCTTGATCTGAATTTAAAGTAGGAAAAACCCCAGAATAATAAGGACTAAAACTGAATGTCTTTTTTAAAAAATTGTTGTTCAAGTACAGTTGTCTGCCTTTTACCCCCATCCCAGCCCACCCACCCAACCCTCCCCACCTCCCTCGTGATTCTACCCCCTGCCCTTGTTACTGTCCATGTGTCCTTTATACTTGTTCCTAAAAACCATTCACCCTTTTCTCCTGAAATTCCCTCCCTTCTCCCCTCTGGTCACTCTCAGCCTGTTCCAATTTCAGTGTCTTTGGTTATATTTTGCTTATAAAACTGAATGTCTTGATAACTCAGTGTGATGCAGGCTCAATCTCAAGATTTATTCAGATTAGGCCCTAGCTGGTGTGGCTCAGTGGGCTGGGTACCCTCCTGCAAACTGAAAGGTCACTGGTTCAATTCCTAGTCACAGCATGTTCCTGGATTGCAGGCCAGGTCCCTGGCTGGAGCATGCAAGAGGTAAGCATTCAGTGTTTCTCACGCACATAGATGTCTCTTTCCCTTTCTCCCTCCATTCCCCTCTCTCTAAAAATAAGTACAATCTTTTAAAAAAGATTTATTCAGGTTTGGAGAAATAAAGTTATAGAACATTATTTTAGACTCTCAAGTTTATAGCACAAGTTCTATCCTTTGCACAATCTTGGATTTTTATTCTGCAGAAAGACCTTGCCCTATAACTTGTAGGACAGTACTTTGTCCTCCAACACCCTTTCTTGATGGAAAATAGAGATTTTTTAAATTCCTTCTTCATTTGACAGGAGCTGACTTCCTTGGAGTGGCCACTGAAGGAACAGAGTCCCCTACTGGCCACCAAGTGCTGCTGGGGCATCAGCCCTTCTGTATTCTTGTGACAAGAGAACAGGGGAGACGAATTAGCTTGGCTTTCCTAAATTGTCCCCACCCATAACCCCAGTTCACAGGCTAAGAAACTCAGGATGCCAGGAGTACAGTTTGGCACTCAAGACCTTTAAAAATTAAACTTGTATTGATCACCTAAACTTAACTCCCATGACTGCCCCTCAAATTTAAGAAGACATCATCTCAAGAATATTACCCCAAACCTTATCAAAGCAACTGTATCATTTCCCAATAAAAACTTTCCATAAGCCTGTGTTTGGTTGCTATCAGTAAGTGTAGAAACACTGAGGTATGAGATAATAAAATAACATACAAAGCACTAGTTACAAAACTTAGGTTTACAGCTCTCATGACAGGCTTTGCACTCAGCAAGTTACATCTTTCGCTAAATTATAAGAGAAGTCTCTCTTGCTGAAGATGCAGCACACTGAATTCCTTGTTAGTGGTCATCCCTGAATGCGATGCTTTTGTCCTTATTGAAAACCCCTTAGACAAATCAAGGAACACAAATGAAAAATCAAGATGTTATCAGCAAGGATTAAACATAAATGGGAGAAATCACTTTTGGTTGTATAGAGGTAGAGAAAATAGGGATCACGTGAGCCCTCTATAAAAATCTGAAAATTTATAAAAATCTCACAGCAAATGTATTTGATACCATTAAAATCTTAAGACCAAGTACTGAGCTCTAATGGACACTCTGAAATTCAGCCAGTAGGGGGCAGTCAAAGAGTGACTAATAGAGTTTCACTTATCCAGGCTCTTCACAGGGTTCTTGAAAAATCCCTTCAAGTAAGCTTCTGTGACTATAAAATTTTATGCACTTATATCATTTTTGGGTTCTGGAGTCATCTTACAGTTATAACAATTTTCTCCTTCCAAAGTATTGATTACATCACATTTGCCTGCAGATACAAGCCCCATCTTCGAACTCTGCTCTCTCAGTAACAAAGGTAATATTATGGCTTTTATCGACCCTATGCTCTGCCTTACTTTTCAGTTGATTCAGAATCGGGAAGAGGGATCCTCTAGGCAGGTGTTCAGTGAATCTTTTTAATATAAAGATTTTATTTATTTTTAGAGGAAAGGGAAGGAGAGAGGGAGACAAATATCAATGTATGGTTGCCTCTCCCTGCTGGGAACTGGCCTGCAACCCAGGTATATGCCCTGACTGGGAATTGAACCGTGATTCTTTGGTTTACAGGCCTGCGCTCAATCCACTGAGCTACACCAGCCAGGGGGTGAATCCTCTTGAAGAACCTAATGAAGCTCAGGATCTAGCAGAGGATATGGACTGGAGTCCATATGGGAGTGAGTTTAAAATAGTGTAAATCTGTCTTAGCACAACTACCATCTCTAAAGAAGCTGTCTGTGCCTTTGTAACACAGGAAATTGTAATTTTTTTCTGTGATTCTTCCACATTTACTTTTGTAATTGTGGAAAAAGTAATTTTTCTTTCTGTAATTTTTCCACATTTACTTTTTGTGATCTTAGAAATGGCAGATCCTTGAGCAAAAGTAGACTTTTTATAATGAGAAAAAGCAAGCTGTTCACATATCACCTTTTACTTTAAAAATCAATTTCCTGAAATAGGTTAAGAGAACTTAGAGGATGGAGCCATTTAACACTTATTTAAATATGTCATAAATTGACAACTTAGAGTGTTTGGGTGACTTCTTTTGGAATTTTTGAGTTGTAAAAAAAAGGCACAGACTTTGTCTGTAGGTGAAAATTAAAATCTCTGCCCCATTTTTCTTGGCTAACCCCAGTCTTGCTCTATGTGAATTTCTTTTCCCTGCCACAGTCACCAGGCCCCCTTCTTCCTCTCATTCCCACTGAACGTGTGACCCAGGCTCTCTGCCAGACGCTTCACCTGCTAAAGAAACGGAGGCGGCCACCAGGTGGTCCCGCCATCTGTCTCTTGCTTCAGCAGTGATAGGAGAGAACTGACCCGGGGATGCCCCTTCTTCCGGCTTCCTACCTCCTTCCTAGTCGCAACCTCTGGAATCATCTCAGCCATCCTCTGCCTCAAAATACACTGTATTTTGAGCTTAGCTCCTTATGGCTGACCAACTCCCAGATTCGTCAGAATTATTCCACCAGGTCGAGGCTGCAGGCAACAGCCTGATCAACCTGCACCTGCCGGGCACTTACACCTCCCTCCCTCTCTGGGCTTCTATTCCACAGCAACGAGGTGACTCTGGAGGACAACATCCATTTCTTGCCAAGTTGGCCAAGGAGGAGTACAGAGGGGGCACGGGGCATCTCTTGATGATGCAAAACCAGCTCGGCTGCTGCCTCTTCCAGGAGATGCACAAGCCCTCCCAAGATGAGTGGGGTGCCGCCCCTGACGCCGCAGAAGCCACCATGCTCTTGGAGAAGAACCTGGGCCAGGCCCTTTGGGACCTGCATGCCCAGGTTTCTCCCCACACAGACGCTTGTCACTGTGCCTTCCCGGAAAGCCACTCACTAGGGTAAGAACTGTGAAATTCCCCAAATAGAAGGATGACCACCTGAGGAATCGTAGGTTTGTGGGCCGCCAGGTGGGGCTAGGAGAATATCTTTTCAAAAGCCTCACCATCAAACACGACTGACTGGGAGTCTCCGGAATCCCTGGCCTGCCTAGGGCCCCTCTGCAACCCCCTGGTATCAGGGCTTCAGTCTGAGGCCCTCCCTGCAGCCACTAGACAGCTTTTTAACCACCCTGGAGTACTCTCCCATCTCATGGATCAAACAGTATAGATTTGTGCAGGAAAAAAAAATAATGGAGAAATTGCATTGAGCATTACTAGCAACCACAATGGTCTACTCTGTCATTAACAATGGTTAAACATTTATTGTTTATTATCCTTGCTTTGCAGTTGAGGAAACCGAGACATGTAGACATTAAGCCCAAGGTCTCACGCTGCCTGTGAGTGACAAAGCCATTTGAGAACAGTCTACACTAGAATTCGAGTGCTTTAACAATCACAGTTAGCTGCCTCCAGGGAGTGAACCTTTGTATGAATGAGCCTGTCCCATTGCCAAGGGACATTCCCTGTGAAGGTGGGAAAATAACACAGCACTGATGTGTCTGCTAAAATGGAAAAATAAAAGCCAGGAAAAGATTATGACAAAACACTGGGTTAGAGTAGATTCATGATCTCACCACTTGATATGAGCATTGTTCCCAACCCGTAAATCTAGAGGCTTACTGTGCATTATAGGATCTAGTGAGGATTAGGAATGATAATTTGTGTGAGAGTGTCTATTATCCAGCAAATGTTTGATTTATAAGTGAGTGACTACACAGTGCACATTTTGCCAATCAAACAGGTCCTCTTACATATAATACTTCATGGCAGAAATTCCAAGTGTTTTATAAATGTTTTCTTATTACTCATAACCCAGATGTTATGAAGTGGAGCCAAATATCTGCAAAATTTGTAAAGTTTGTGAAAACAGGATTGAGAAGAGGCAAATAAGAATTAGAAACAAATCATTCTTATTTTAGTGTTTTCATGTGGATAGATGGTATTACTAGTATTAATGTAATTTCCATTACTTTAATTCAGCAGTATTTACCATGCTTTCCTAAATGGCTGCTATTATTTAGGCACTAGAGATGGAGCCAGCATGAACGAGACAGATTAGGACCTCATTGAAGTTTACCTTTAGGAAAAGGGGACAGAGAAAGACAATAAACAAGTAAAATAAACAAATGAATGAGAAAGCCTGCTAGTGATGAGTGCTAATGGTTAGCTGAAAGGATTTGGTTTAGAATGCAATTAAAACCAGCCCTCAGGGTGGTTGGTACTGGTCCTAAAAGACTACTTCGGATACTTGTAAACTTTTGATCTTGCTATGAAAATGTCAGCTGTATTGGAATGGAGAATCTTGAATTGAGTAAATTAGTTTTATTATTTTTTTTATTTTTGAGGGTTTCACAAGAGCTTGAAAAAGAGAAATGTAATAACAGATATAACAGTGTCCAGATAGGTTAAACTGACAAGAACTTCACTTTAGCAAACAGATTCTAATTTATATTGCGAAAGGCAATTTAATATTCAGTAAAATATTCACCATCATGTGTCATGTCAATTTAACGTTAACTTAGATTTCATAGGAATTGTGTCTTTGTAGTCACTGTGGTTTTTATTCAGTTTTATTGAGAAATAATTGGCATACATCACCGTATACATGTAAGGCAGACAGCGTGATGGTTTGATTTACATGTACTGTGGCATGATTACCACAGTAGGTTCTACCAGCATCCATCTTCTCACATAGATAAATAAAAAGAAAGAGAAAAGGGAGTAAGTTGTCCTTGTGGTTAGAACTTAACAATTCTCCTATATATCGTACAGGAAGCTACAGTTGCCACGTTGTACCTCACATGCCCAGTCCTTATGGAACCTCATAGAAACTTCATTCATTAATATGAACTTTCCTCAATTCTTTCCTTTTCATTCAAACTGGACGAAACTGCTCATTCCTTTTTGTTCACTCTGACTCACCTGCCTCCTTCTCCTTTTTAAGACCCCTCCCTCAGGGGTCTTAAGCGTTAAGCCCTCAGGACAATGAGGTTCTGTACAACATCAAATAATCTTGGCACAAAGTCTCAGGTCTGTTGACCCCAGAGAAAGGTTTTGGTCAAACTAGAGATAACCTCTAGGCCTCAGTTGTGTATCATCTCCAGGCCCCCCAAAGTGGCAAAACCAGACAAAGGGACGGCGGGGCTGACATCAGGAGCAGGTGCACTGATCAGCTGTCTCCTCCCCTACCACTGACCTATCGGTAGAGACCACATCCCTGACCGCAATTCTAACTCCCCTAGTCACTGTGATTAATGATTTTTCTCCCATATAACCCACCCCCTAAAAGCCATCAGGGAGCCAGGTCTTTGAGTATTATCTCATTTCTCTCCAAGCATGGGCCACTTCCTTTTTTGTTGTTGTAGGTGAAATCATACAGTCTTTGTCTTTGTCTGGTTTATTTCACATAGTATAATGGCTTCAAGGACCATCATGTTGTCACAAATGGTAGGATTTCCTCATCTCCTCACCCTTTAATGGCTGAATAATAATACATACAGCACAAGTTCTTTATTCATTCATCTGTCAAGGAATATTTAGGTTATTTCCATGCCTTGGCTGTCATAAATGATGTAGCTAAGAACGTGTACCCTAAAAACCATCCTAATATCTCATTTCAAGCCAATCTTTTTTATAAGGAGAAGAAAAGTATGGGTGAGGGGTTTGGAGAAAGGTTAATCAGATAAGAGTTGCAGTGCGGCAGGGATTTTCCTAGTATTTCTCTGTCTACTAATAAACAATTATTTATCTGCCATTGTGTTCCAGGCTCCCTCCATGGAGCACACTGGCCCAGATGCCATCACAAGCTCTTGCAGATACGCTGGGGAACAAAGGTAGAATTGCTTATTGACCTCCTGGAGTCCCACAGGGTGTATAGTCTAGTTCCTGGAACAACAGCTTTCCACATGCATTAATCACTTAGGTCTATCAGCTATAACTAAAGCCAAAATCTTTAACTCTTGAGTTCCCCTATCATATTCACCAATGAATATGTTAGCTGTGGACTTCACACATATGGCCTTTATCACGATGAGGTGTGTTCTTTGATGCCCAATTTGTTAAGAGGTGTAACATGAATAGATGTTGAATTTTGTCAAGCACTTTTTTGCATCTATTGACATAATTATATAATCCTTTTCTTTCATTCTATTAATGTGATATATCACATTGATTTATTTCCTTATATTGGATCATCTTTGCAACCCACCCATAAGTACCATTTGATTATGCTAAATGATGCTTTCAAGTGCTGCTGAATTTGGTTTGCTAGTATTTTATAGAGAAATTTTGCATCTATATTCATCAGGGATAATGACCTCTATCTTAGGAAGAGGATACTATATTGAATTAATCAATGGGTTTACTTTCATGTTTGAGGAAAGTATAACTTTGCTACTTTTTATGTGTTTTGTTCCATCTTTTTATCTTTTGCTATTTTAAAAAATGAAATGTTTTTTTAAAGTCATTAAGTCAATTGCATGACTATTTAAAACCCACTGAATTAAATGTAAAAGTTTTTGAGTTACTGATTTTATGAAACAGTATGTTCAAAATACAGGTTGTGAGTTTTACAAGTTGAACTGCATGTAATTTTTATTCTTCATCCAAAAATATTAAATGCTATCAATTTTATAAAGTTCAACATTAATTAGACAATCCAAAGTAAGTTTTCAATTTTTATATATACAGACACATTTGAAATTAACCAAGTAAATTATATATTAAACAATGAGATATTATTCATTTATTGCACAAATTAAATGGTCAAAGTGAATTGGAAAAACAATAGAACAAAAGGCAAACACTGCTTGTGCAATTATAAACCAGAGCCTTCTGGAGAAATTCTGGCAAAACATAACAGGGGACTAACACGTACATACACCCTCTGACCTTCCATTTTGGGAATGAATTTTAAGGAAAAACAGTCATGTGAAAATTTATGTAAACATAAACAACATGCTTTTTAATAATATACATGTGGATAAGGCCTAAGTGTACCATCTAGGAATTGGTTAAAGAAATTATGATCCAGTTATACAATGGAATACTATAAGTATAAAATGTTAAAGCAATGTATTTATTCAAGTGGAACATTTGTAATATATATTTAAATTTTAAAATAACAGGCTACATCATAAGTAATACAAGCCTAGGTTTACAAATAAAGTATACAAGAAGAGATCTGTGCTTACCACCCCCACCCCTCAAAAAATGAACCAAATAAAGAAAAATAAATTGAAATCTCTGTAAATCATGCTTAGAATAAAAATAATCAGGCTCCTCTCCCTCTATTTCAGTTTAGAAAAAAAGTGAAGTATAGCATATTCCTAAGGAACCCCAAGGGTAAAATCCAGAGAATAGATGATCAGTCACTTCACAAATTTTGATTTTCTATTTCCAATTACTTCAGTTTTGTTTCTAAGGAACTAACGAGACACTTCGCAAACAATGAGTGATGATTCACATAGATCCGCTTGATTGATCTGAAGGAGGTGTTCTTTTTTTTTCACTTTTATTACTGACTTATCTGTGTTCTCTGCCTTGAGAAAATGCTACTGGACACTGAGTGTAAGAGGGATTGTGTCAACTAAGGTAAACTCAGTGTGACAGACAACCTAAGGGCATATAACCAGTGTTGTTGATGGGCTGGGAACTGAATTTCATGGCAGCGCTTTGACGGTCTCTGAAAGAAGACTCTGCCCCCGAGAGGGAAACCCGGGGTTTATACCTGTCTTCCCATCATAGGCCTTTGAACATAACAGGTACTCAGAGCTCATTGAGTTGAACTACATATTAGAGATAATTTAAAGAGAACACAAAAGACAAGGCAGCACTCAGTAAAAGGGCCTGAACAGCATGCAATACATGGAAAGGCTAAAGGGATCACAGGGGGGAAAAAAAGGT